AAAACAAACCAGCTTTCATCCAGCGGAGGAGATAAGACCCGAATAATTAAATACAGAATCATTCATGGCCATAAATTCAGGAGTTTCTGGAAGTTATTGGAAGTGACTGTGTTGTGATAAAAATGGGTAAACCCACAGGGGCGCTGCCCTAGAGGGGGCGCCAGAATATGGCAAAATGTAGTGAGCATTTTCTGTATGTGAATGATGACATCTAGGCACGACTGTAATTCACCATTCACCTCAAAAAGTACAAAAAAGTTCAAATTTCCAAGTTTTCCTGCCGTCGGTACCTGCAGGTCAAAGTTGGGTTCTCAGTCATTTTCTGGACATTTTTAAAAGCCAGCTATGAATCTAAGGCTCCCACAAACCGAACCCTGTAAGCTCAGACAGCCGGATGTTCCTGCTCTGGGTTCCTGTTGTTGCTCTGAGTTCTTTAAATAAAGACTTGAAGCTGATTGGATGGAAACAAAAACACAAACCTGGAAGGAGAATTAAATCTGGAAATCATCCATCTTTCCAGACTCATCAGATTTTAAATGACTAGTTTTCCTGTTTATCACAAGAAACAATTTCTCAGTATTTATGTCAGAACAGTTACATGAGCAGGTGAAAAAGTCTAATTAGACCAAATAATTTCTTCTTCTTGTGTTAGTAACATCGGCCTCCAAAGCAAAGTCAACAGTTAATTTGTGTTTTAACGGGGGGAGTTGCATTCTTAAATACATTTCTTGACCATGCTGTGTTCTGGTTCATCTCATGGGATCCCTGAATTAAAGTCTGTCATCATTCCTGGCCAGTTTCCCCTGAATAAATGTGAGAAACCAGCTGGGTTTGGCTAAATGAGGCGTTTCAGCAGGAATCTCCACGCCGCTTCTCTCCGTCATCGTCTCCAAACCTGAAGAGAAACTTGGAGGATCCTCAGACGTTAAATCATTTCTGTGAGAAGAATCCATTTCCAAGAACATTCGCTGTGTTTTTTTTTCTTTTGAGGATGTCTTTCACTTTCCGGAGAGCGAGTCCAGTAATGGACTCTAATGCAGCAAAGGAAATTATCCACTCATGTCCAATCACTACCTACACAGCTCCGATCAATACCAGGTCCCCAGGGCTCAGAGGGAGACCAGGATCATGCAGACTGAAGGGGGGAGAGGATGAGGGACGAGGACTAACTCACTATTATCACTAATATCACTAATATCACTATTAATACTATTATTACTATTATCACTAATATCACTATTATTACTATTATCACTAATATCACTATTATTACTAACTTCAGCTCCTGGATTCAGTTTTTGGTTCTATATGAGTGAATTTTATCCTCATGATGCCGTTTTTAACAGTAGCTGCTGCATTAATTAGAACTTCACTGTTCAGTCTTAAACTAGTGCTATAGATGTGTGTATATCTAGATAGATAAATAGATATCCAGATAGGCTTTATGAAATGTCGGATGTTGCTTTTATCTAAAACTATCATTTCAGTCTGAACGGATGTGAAGGGCCAATGCAGATAAAAAAGGATTAAATTTCCACCAAAAACTCAGAATTAATCTCAGAAATGTTCTAGAAATACCTTTAACATTTCTGAGCTCCAAAGTAAAACAATTTCAAGAGGAAAACATTTGTTTAGATTAATCTCAGAAATAATATTAGGACATTTCTGAGTTCAAATTTCAGAAATTTGCAAGAGAACAAATTCAAACATGTTGAAAATAATCTTGTAAATTTTCTGAACTCAGAAATAGAAAATTGTCTGAGTTTCAAGAGTAAAACATTTTCTGCTTTTCAAATGTCCAAGTTTTGTGTTGAAACTTTCCGAATTCAGATTTTTTCAAATTCTGACTTTTTTTTCCTCCAAATTTTGACTGAACTCAGTTCTGACTTTGATCTCACAAGATTAAAGTCAGACTTCTGTCCTCTTCTCCGGTGTGACTAATCCTCGTCCATAGAGTCTCCTACCAAGTCCAAAAGAAAACAAACAGGAAACAAATAAATGTTCCTCCATGTGGAACTTCTTCCAACAATCCAGAATAATCTGGTGATAATCTGCAGATTTCCTCTGAGACTCAGACGCTTCAGAGGAAGTTTGCACAGGAAAACTTTATTTGCTGAGAACAGAAATTGGCCAAACTCAGGAGTTATACGACAATTTGTCATTTCATGCAATCATGCAAAACAAAGCAGCAGATCCATTCAATCATGCTGTTTCCAAGCATCAATTGAAACTTTTCATTAACAGCAGGATGTCAGAAAAACAGCGACTTAAAGACTTTGAAGGAAGCTCATAAATTCTTGGTGAAACTCGTCTCATAAATCACCAGTCTGAGTCGTAAACAAGCCGCTGGGCCTCAGACATCCATCACTCCTCTCTGACTCGCACAGATCTAATGCCTCATCTCTCTCCCACGTCGTCCGGATCAATTAGTCTCCTTCTCGCCGTCGGCCTGTCTGGGCCGCCCCTCCTCCGCGGCCCTTTCCTGTCGGCCGCGTGGAGCGGCGGCGTGCGGCCGGGCAGAGTGCCCTAAACCTCCGAAACCATCAAACACACTCAGGAAGTGGAGCGACTGCCAAATATAAAGTGGAGAACCGCAAACAAATGGAGTAACTCATTAATGCGGCGCAGCAGCGCAGGGTCGGCCTCCGGTCGCCATGACATCATCCGCTCCGGGCTCACGCTCATTCACAAATCTGACGGACGAGGGAGAGGGAGTGACGGAGTCCAGCTTTTATTTTCATCATTTAACAGAAGCGGGTCCTGAGTTTCTATAAGACGGTCCGAGTCATAAATAAAACCACTTATGGTATTAACCCGGTGGATTCTGTGAGGCCACAACGGCTAAATATTGGAAAACTAAATGTTTATCATATACATAAAGCAAATTAATGTAACTTTTATTAAAAATATGTTTTTATACATTAGCTAAAGCCGTT